TAATCATGATTCCTATCGAAATGACGCATGAGAAGACTCCGATACCATTCATCTTATGACGATTTACTAATAGAATAGTTTCTCACTGAGCACATAGAAAACCACTGAATACCGATTGCAATCTTTTTATTAAGATATCGTGATTAGAACAAACATCTTGTCCTTAAAGAAGATGCCACTGTGGATGTAAGATTTGCTCTTCTGTTCTCCCACGCCTACATCCTCTACAATGCTACTGTAATTTGCATACAAGCAGTGTTTTTTTTTCGTTAGAGATTTAATTCTTTCTTAACGTTGAAAAACATAGAAGAGATGTAATAAAATTGCGTACACTTCACTTGTACACGTTCTTTCATAAAATAGACGACGAACACATTATTTGTCGTACTTGGAAACATCCAGAAACTTCTCTATTTTCATATTTCTTCACCATCTCGAATAATAGACAGAAAGAATGTTGAGTTCAATATGTTGACATTAGCGAAAGCATTTCTGTTATACGAGGATAGTTTCATAGTAAAAGAGAAATAGAATGAGCCTTCTTAACAGTTCGCTTATTGACCGAGTGTATCCTCAGAGAGAGCAATTATATTCCATAGATTTGGGTAGCTTAAAGCATAATTTAGATGAATTCTTATAAGAATTCAATCATGTTGCCATCTTGTAAGAAATTGGTTATTATAGTTTAATTTTGACCCATGCAAACCTATACCAAATATAAAATTCTTTTAAGTTTTACATTTGATATACGTCTTTACAGATCAAAATCAAACAAATAAGTCATTTGTTACAAGAATTCATTCCAACATACTTCAAGTAGCCTAGATTTTAGGAATATGATTGTTCTCTCTTGGAATATGCTCAATTCGAAAATCGAACGTTTAGTAACATGTAAAGATACACAATCGAAATTATTCTATCTTGAAGAAGTTCATCTAAATACTGCACGTTCTGTGAAAGTAACATACACAAAGACGGTTTCATAGATTCCGGCCTTTTTTGAGAATACAAAAACCATCACAGTGAGTCCAAAACGTATTAGGGTATCTAAATATAGCAATTCACTTCTTCCGCGTTTCGGCTGACATAACCAGAAAAATAAGAATGTGAGAACTCTATTTTGCTCGAAACAATAAGTGGAGAAACGAAAGGTTGACATTAAATAAACGTTCGATAGCTTCGCATGTATTTGCAGTGCCTATGTCAGAGTAATAGATTTCGACGAAAACTTGTATTTAACAACTTGTATAGGTTGCCGATCTATCACATATATTAACTCTTAACTGATTACAGTAAAAACAATATGTCAAGCTATGCATAAATAAAAATGAAAAGGCTACTTGAAAAGAATCGGTTATTACTACGAGTGAAAGAGATACATGACACTATCATACAAAGTTTTGAACGATTGAATGAACAATCTATCCAAACGAATGAGAATGTTAACAGAAATAGAACAAAGATAAACAAAGTAGAATTGAAGAGACAAAAGGAAAAAATATACACTTTAGCATGTGCATAAATGATTGGACCACTAAAATAACCTTTTATGAATGTGAAGTTTTTTTCTGAGAATGACAATGTAGTAATATCAAAATGATTCAGAATCGTTTACTTGATATACTAGATTATTCTCAAAGGTTGGTGACTCATGAAAACGTCGTTTTTTTATTTCAGTGTCTCCATCATAAAAGCTATGTTTGCATTCGCTTATCTAATAAGGGAATGTTTTCTTGAATATGTTATAAAATGCTCTTGCGACTCACTGTAAAAAAGTTAGCAAATCACATAATCTGTTGACGATATTGACTAATGCAATGTATATGAAACTAACGGCCCAATGACAGGAGGAGACTGAACGAAATAAAATATCCTTATATTTCATGCATAATCTGCTTGTTCGTCTACCTCCGAGAAAAACCAGCGGATGTAGACAGACATAAAGATTTCTTTATCATCGCAATAACTATAAAGGTGTGTTAACATTAACAGAGAAGGGAAACACACTGACATATTTCGATTGATTCTATTCAGTTAGCATGATTTACTTATTTACGAGACGATTAAAAAACGTTGCTAATTTTCAGTAGTACCATTGTTGCACTTCTGTTTTCTTCTAAAACCCTTGAACCTTCAAAAAACCTAATCCTAGATTGTTTTTTGCCACTGTTGTAGGTGTGCGTGTGGGAACAATACCCACACTCACCCGCACTCTAGTGATCATTTTCTTCGGAGTCATTCTTTTGTAGCTGTTGCATAGTGAAGTTTTTTCCTACTACATGAGAGTTCATTGCAAAAACAAATATTGTTCCTTTTTGTTTCTTAATTAAACCGGTCCTTTTTTCTTCATATTTACACAAAATACGCCTTTGCAAACATTAAAAACGATGATATAATTATTGAGAATTAAAAAGTATATCAACTACTACTACGAAGTGGTTAAGAGAATGAACATCAGAGACTAAAATCAAAATCAATAAATAAATAATTTAGTTCAATCCGATTTTATTTTGAAATGGAATTTTCTGTTCATTTAATTAAAAATAGCTCATCTTAAACTCTGAGTGTTTTTCATTTGGTACTTCATTCTTTTACTTTATTGATTTTACGATATATTCTATCACGAAATAAATATTAGTTTTAGTTTTTGGGGAATTTATTTTAATTTCAAAAATTTTTCACTCAACCGTGAAACAGTTATTTGAAAATAAAATGTGTCCCATGTGGTAGATGACAAATGTAGTAATATTCTTTCAGCCAGGATGTGAGTGGGTGTGGGTGTAACGCTCTCCATGCTACTCAGCAGAGATGGAAAAGCTTAGCCCATGCTTTTCGTCCTGTTGCTATCGCCTATGCACCCCACATGCCTGTCTCTTTTTGCTCTACTACTAAGCTTCCCAAAGTCTTGGGAACATTGGGATGCTGCAAGTATGCGTTTCGCAAAGCTCTGTCCTTTGTAGCATAAGCGTGAGCAGCTGGTCGGAGCTAAGTTTTTCCATCTTTGGTACTCACGCCCACATCCACTCTAGATCTGATTTGAGACAATATTAATGGCAAAAACATATATTCGATTTCACAAATAAGTTATACCAGTAGTATTTGTATTTTACAGCATCTCATAACACATTAAACCATGTCGATATTGGCAACAACCTTGTACTCGTCACATGTGCTATTTACGGATATTGTGACCCTTCTGGTAAGGAGTAGACGTAGAAAATAATTATTGAATCATTGAGATTTGTGTCCATGTATGGCTTTGCCTAAAACCATTCAGAAAAAAAATCCATATTTCTCGATCATAATCTCACGTTGATATGATTTCGAGTTGAAAAATTTGATCGAACATAAACTTCACGATTTACCTCATATAAGACCTACATTTGAGAGACGATTTGGGGACTTTTCTAAATAGTTGGACTTTACAAAGTTTGAGGAGAATGCAGTTGAAAATCTATTAGATATGAATGAGTATTATATAGCAACAAAAAGAATTATTAATTTTGAACGAAAATTGNGTCAAGAAAAATACTGTCCTTCTCCTGCATAGGCATGACTGGTGCACGAAGGAACAGATTATGTGCAGGACAAATTCTGCATTCTGGAGAAACCTGGTTCCATGACGTTCTCTGGTGACAAATGTTCACGTTCGATGCCACGCACACCTTGTGCTTTGTCCTATGTTGTATGCCAGATGCGAACAATACGAATGAAAGAATTTTTTCGTATGATTCAGAAAAATATAGAGATAGATTTGTTTAATATTCGACAGAGAATTTTAAAATTCGTACGAATTATTCGATTTTTTTTCTATGCAGGACATGTGAGATTGGAATTCGAGTATCTCCTGAATGAATTCGTTCATATAGGAGACCAAAGCATGAAAGCAACGAACCAAGATAGAAGTCGAATAGCTCTGTCTAATGCACATCCCATTTTTTCAAATTGACTGTACAATCACACAGATTAACTAGAAATACTGTCAAAAAAAGTCCTTTCCAAAAAACCTGTCGCGATTCACCTATGAATGCGACCAACAGAGGATATTCATAAACTCGCATAGATCTCAACGAGCTCTATTGGATGGACATCTTAAAAACGTGATTCAGTATGAGTGTGGATGAGTGTAAATGTCGGCGTAGGGGTGGCTGTTGGGTGACTGACATATTCAAACTCACATGGGGGCATCCAGCATGCACACCCACCAAAACCCTCAAGGCAAGTTTACGTCAGTAGTCCACTGCTTGTCAGATATTGATGCAAATTCTTCTTGAACAAGTATGATTGACCGATTTTTTGCATAGATGATATCTATTCATGTTGCTGCAGTTGAAATTCATTTTTATCGATTAGAAAAATTATGAGACAGAATTAGATTTATGCCTCTGAAGAAGGCTTCGATCAGTAAAAATTTCTGTTTTTATCTGCAAAACCAACCTAATATGTATAGTTAACTTAGTTGACAAACAAATTGCGTAAAAAATATCGCCATTTATGTTTAAAAGAATGACTGTCATTCTATCGTGAATCTACGCTGAAATATAGAAGAAACGAAAATGAATTGACAACACTTACCTCACCTGTAAGCCACGTGGTGCCATTTAATAAAAGCACATTTTGTGTTGATGCTGAAATTTTCATTTCTGTGATTTACGAACCAGCTCACATTGCTTAAATTGCTTTCAATAGTGTGTTGGCAGAAGGAATGAGAAAAAAAAAGAAATATACTGAAATATATCAATTTTCGTTGTGGATATAAACTCGAGTAAAAGGGAAAGAGTACGCACGCAGAAAGTATATTTAGACATTTTCTTTTCATTTTCATTCACAACTTCTTACTGAGTATCACTGCATGTGACGTAGTACAGAGGGAAGATGATGTTTTTGTATGAGAGTTTCCTACTTTGTCATATATTGACATTCGTATTCTATCAATAGACATGGCATCAGGATTAGAATCAAATCGATGCTAAATCTGTCAGAAAGAGGAAGGCAAATGCATGTGTGATGAATGTAAAAAGTACTTTTGTGTCAAGCATTTCGATCAACATCGCCAACAACTGTCGACAAAATTTGATGTTGAGATTGTAAGAACTCATGATGAACTTCTTGATCAAATCAGCCGAGTCAATCAACCGAATACTAGTGGTTCGAGACTTTTCGGTGAAATAGATCGGTGGGAAACTGAAACCTACGAAAAAGTTCATAAAGCAGCTGAAAAAGCTCGTCATCAACTTACTCAACTGCTCACTGAAGGGAAAGACACGTTGAAAAAAGACTTTGGAATAATGACAAAGGAAATTCGTAATCGACGAAAAGAACTCAATTTTGATGAAAATGATATTGAACGACTTCAACAAAAGTTGAATCAAATTGAAATATTAGTAAATCGACTTGTTCGATCAACAGAAACAAACGCGGCCATAGTGACAAATGATCAAATCAATTGGAATCGGGTTATATATGTTGAAAGCAATCATGCCCGAATGGGTAAGTAGAGTGAAAACAATATTTGATAAAGTATTGGAACTAGTTGCATTATTGACGAAATTGAGAGTATTTTCATCTCGTTTTATAATCAAACTTCTTAAACATGAATAGATGTTCGTGAAAGTTCAATATTCTTCAAGGACACCTGTCCATTTCGGAGGTTTCTCGAGAATGGTTCGACGAAAATTTATGAAATATTCAGAACAGCTATATCTCGATGTGTGGAGCAAAATTTTCCACAGACTCAAAATTCCCAGATGCTTTTTCAGAAAGATACGGGGGTCGCAAAGGGTGTGGGTGTTCGAGAATTATAGACTCAAACTTACGTCCAGACCCATACTCCACATCCACACCCATACCCACACCCACACCCTCCAATTAGTTTCATATAGACGAAAATTTTAAACTTTTAAACTCGAGGAGTTAATTTTTAGCATTAAGTTTTTAATTATAACTTGATCTACGTACATCCCGATCACTTTAGTATTATCTGCAATTAAATTTATTTTTAGCGAACGTCTCAGAGACAACTATTGTACACTAAGCAAACCAAAAACAACTGTATTTGTTGTTTCGTCATTTTGAGAATTGATTGCTAACTTCATTGATATCTAAACATTCAATTTTTAAAATCTTATGTTCATCTGTTTATAAAATCACCAATGCGATTATATGATTCTTATTTTGATGAAAAAATTGATTTAAAATAAGAAATAAGTAACTTGAAAAAGTTAAATTTAACATTGGTGAATAATTCAAAAAGGTTTTGTTGTTTTTAATAATATATCAGCTTCTTTGAAATGAAAATTTAACAACGTTTTCTTAATCTGAGAGACAACTTAACATTTTTTTTACATAGATTCTGTCACTTTCGATCAACAATGAAATTCTCATTTGATACATATATATTCGAGATTTCCTCTTTCCAAAGATTAGTAAAATAAAAAATAAATGGTAAATCAAATGGAAAATTATATATAAAGGGTATGCCAGAAGTCCTGACTCGATTTGTATAAGAAATTTTTATATAGAGAAACACGTGGTTGTAAATTTGTGTGTATTACGGAAAGATGGAGTAAAGCACGCTCCACAAAATGACTATTGGTTGACCCCACCAGCTCATGTAGTAAAAAAGTTATAAGCTTACATATTATATGCTTTACAAAAAATAAAAATTAACCGTGGACCAGGTCTATATGGTAGTGCTTCCAGTAAAAGTTCCATCAGTTCATCCAAACAATGGACTTTTCGATCAGATTTGTTTGGTTTTGATCAGAAATGATTGCTCGTCTCTACCTAGCTGCAAAATCAAAACTTTGATCACGATTCCTCATTCTTGCTCAGCGCATTGTCGGAAATGAGGTTGTCAATTTTTGAAACTTGGATGTGGAGCACATCATCTTCTCTAAAACAAAATTTTTTACACTCCATGAGAAGGAGTACATTTGAAATTACCAAACTCGGCTGAGTTCTCACTTTTGCTGTGCTGTTTTAAGGGAATAATAGAAAAGAAAAAAGTTTAAGCAAAAATAAGATACTAAATTTATTGAGTTTTTATATTTTTCGCCTCTCGTATAATTTGCTTAGTTTTCTTGTTTAAAGCTCTGCAATTAAAGTTTAGCTATGATTTTGTAGAAGATTCCAAAGCGTTTCTACTTAACAAAGAATTTGTTCTATGGAACTTAAGCGACAAGAGTTGGAGCAGAAATACAGCGACCGAATTCGCCGTTCATTTTTATTTTTTGTAGGGGTCTGCGTGTGGGTGTAGATAAAGAGAAGAATCACACCCACACCCCACACATGGAGAATGATCCTATTGGTTTAAACTGGCTAGCATAAGCTACACACAAAATTGTGTATAGCGTGTGAGTGTAGCTTATCTTACCCTCTTTTTTCTCTTACGTCTCATATTTGTTTAAAATGTCTCCAACAATCAAAATAGGGAAAAAACTAAATAATTTGAGCAACTGAATTCTATTGTTACTCAACTTTGAATTTCACCTACAAAGTATTTTATATTGTCAATAAAAAAATGTTAGATAGTTTAGCTATAAATGAGCTACATAATCCAATTTCTTTCTTTTTGTTACGAAGAGAAAAGAAACGCTGATTTAATCCAAATGATTTTTTCGTTCTTATAATAATTTTGGATTCATTTTAGCATCACTACGCTCAAGCTCAGTTGACATTCATCCAAATGCAAAATGGAACCAAACTGGTGTTACTGTAGCTGGAGGAAATGAAGAAGGCAATGGAATCAATCAACTCAATTGCCCTTGGGGTTTGTACGTTGATGATGAGCAAACAGCTTATGTTGCTGATGAATCAAATCATCGTATAATAGAATGGAAATCAGGTGCGACGAACGGCAGAATCGTTGCTGGTGGAAAGGAAAATGTAGCTAATCGGTTAAACCGTCCAGAAGATGTGATTGTCGATAAAGAACGAAATAGTCTCATCATCTCCGATTTTGGCAATAAAAGACTAGTTCGATGGCCTCGTCAAAATGACACTAATGGAGAAATAATTATTTCAAACATTTACTGCGTTGGTTTGACAATGGATGTCTCTATGTTGCTGACCATGATAAGCATGAAGTGAAACGATATCGAATTGGTGAAAGCCAAGGAATTTTAGTTGCAGGTGGCAATGGAGAAGGAAATCGTCTCGATCAACTCTTGAACCCTTATTACCTATTTGTCGATCGAAATCATTCAGTGTACGCGTCTGATAATACGAATCATCGTGTAACGAAATGGGAAGAAGGTGCAAAGCAGGGTATTGTTGTAGCCGGTGGTCAAGGATATGGAAATGAGCTTACACAATTAAATGGTCCACTAGGAATCGTTGTTGATCAATTGGGTACTGTCTATGTGGCTGATCGATCCAATCATCGAATTATGCGTTGGCCAAAAGGATCTACACAGGGAACTGTCATTGTTGGTGGGAACGGTCCAGGAGCACAATCAAATCAATTGTCTTATCCATATGGTTTGTCCTTCGATCGACATGGTAGTTTATATGTCGCTGATCAGTGCAATCATCGAATACAAAAATTTGACATCGAATAGACTCCATGATATCTTTTAGGGCCTGACCAGAGGGCCTTTTGATAGCAGGAGCTTCAACGAGGGATCTCAATGGGTGTGGGTATCAATTAAAAGAAACGAACGCCCACATCAGCAAGTGAGCTTCCTCTAATGCCTCCAATTATCAATCGTTTTTTCTTTTCTCTTTGTTAATAGCGTCAACATCAGCTATATGTGAGAGTTTTCTTTCTTTGATAATGAAATCAGTATAGTTTTCTCTTCTTCATATTTTCAAGCACAAACTACAACGGCATGAAGTAGTCGAGTATAAAAAGAAGAAAAAAAAGACTTTCTTCCTAATGTTTTAATGCGATGTTAGATAACTGTGCTAAGTGTAAACAATTCTTATTAGTCTTGAAATAAAAGATGCTTCTTCTTTTCTGCTGAAATTCTTTTTGTTAATTATTCTAGCTTCGACTATTATTCATTTCGAAATAAAAGGCGGGTGGGCATTTTTCGAATAACTTTTGATAGGAACAAGATGTAAAGCTGCGATTTTCACCGTTGGAAAGAGGGCAATTCAGTGCATTGATTCATATAAAACTGTTGAGATTTATTTCATAAATAAGTAATGATCCGTGGTCATCTTGAAAGAGTAGACTGTTGCTCTATGAAGATAGAACAAATCTTAAACTTTGAGGGTGGACTAGAATCACCAGCTGACGAACTACAAAACTAAATATAAGGCTATGATTCAAAGCTTTACTGGTCTGGGAGTTCTAGGTATTTTATTCGACGATTCTAGTACACTTTTCCAGCAATTTCTGTAAAAAAAACTCAGTTTTTTTGTTTTTTTCCTGTGAAAATGATACCTGTTTTCAAGGCATTTCTTTGTCCAACTATTGCAAAAAGTTTCCTAAGTTCAACCTGAGGGTGTGGGTGTGAAGAGTTTTCCTTAAGGCACAGCGATGCCCATACGAACTTTCATATCCACAACCACACCCCACACTCGCACTCTATTTCAAAAAAAGGGCTCTCATAGGCACTGCATCTGGACATGCTCTTTCAAACAAAAAAATATTCGACTTTATATCGTATTGTAGTTGACTTTCGCTGGAGATGCCTCGTGCGACTACCATTTTGAGAAAAACGCTAAAGAAGTTTTAGAAATGGATTTTTTCATTCAAACGCAGAAAATAATGATATATTGATAATATTTATGTGGAATTTTTGAAAGTACGCAATGTATGCCGTAAACTAGCACTACAGGTCGTATTATATGATATAAGAATGTTTATTCCATGCTGATAGAAGTAAAAAAGTAGTCTTCCTAAAAATAACAAAAACCGCGAAAATCTCTCCGAAAACAGAATAGTGAGGTAGAAATCTCCTATGAAAGTCTGTAAAAATTTGACCTTGTTTTAAAAATTTATATGCATTCTGAAAGAGGAAACTTCGCTGCATCTTCCTATGATAAAAACTCGACTTCGATTACTTTACCGAAAAAAATGTATTTTCTGAGGGGGATGGACCCTTAAATCAACTGAAGTTTCTCAATAAAGTAATTTCATTGAATTTCTATCTATGTAAAGATCTTTAGCCGATGAATTCGAAAGTTAATTTTCACTATCAATGCTCAATTAATTGAACTTCGTATGCTGGCCCACAGATTAACAGTTTGATAGTCCTTAGAGAATCAACATTATGCCAATCGACAGATAATTTTACGTTTAAAGAAATTTCTTCGTTGATCAGCTTTTGTTCTCTTTCTTGAAGAATAATTTGTTTTAAAATTTCGTCAACAAGATATTTTGATATACGTTTGTTTTCTACATAGTTTTTATTAATGGAACATAAGTGATATTCGCTCAACTAAAATGTTTTTTTTTTATGATTGAATCAAACTAGAAGCGATTTCAAGTGAAACAATGAAAAAAGATACTATAATGTAGGTCTTTGACGTTTCATGATAAATTCAAGATCTTTCCATTGTCCGACAGGATAATCGAATTCACCGACTTTGTTGAAATCATAGTATGCATAAAACTTTTGTGCTTTAAAATTACCGGACCATACAGTGAGCCACATAGGTCGTCCCGGGTAATGTTCATCTAACCAGGGTAATGCAAGGTTCATAAATTGTTTACCAAACCCATGATTTCGATGATCACGTCGGACAAAAAGTGCGTTAAGTTGTCCATCTTGATTTGAACAAACATCAGGATGAGGAATATCATCACAAGGACCAGCAACAGCGTAAGCGACAAGTTCACCATTTCTTTTATCTTGTATTACCCAAACAGCTCGTTTTGAATCAGTTATTTTCTTAGCAAAACTTTCTGGGCTAGCTGATGAACGAAAATATGTATCAAGATCGTTTTCAGGATAAGGAATAGAAAAGTCTTCTACAAATGTTTCTCGGATTGTCTTTTGAGAAAGTTGAGATAAGGCGTTGATATCATAAATATCAGCACGACGAAGTAAAAATTGGTCATCCATTTATTGTAGCTATCTGAAGATATAATAAAAACGAAAGAAGTCATAATCAGATCATAGGTCTTTTCATTTGATGTTTTAAATACTGTAACGATGATATTTTCAATATCTTATTCAGTCAAATTTAGAATTTCAAACGAACAAAAAATATCGTCTTTTAGACATATGATAAAATAAGTGGAGACTTCTATGATAACCAAAGAAATACTCGAGTATAACGTTCAAATAAATGAATGAAGATCAGTTTCAATTGTCAGAATACTTCGTAGCATTGATAAAATAGCTTTTCTCGAACAGGAAAAGAAATATCAATTTAAAATTCAATTGTTACTATCTAAGAAGCAAGCAAGTCGAAATTTAACCAAGGCTTTTTGTTCATTTTTTTTTACATTATTTGACAGAGCTTGAGCTGACTATTAAGATAATCTTAGTTTCAATTTATGTGAATAGCGTTTTCAAGTTTGATTGTTTTATCTTCTTTTTTTTTGTTGCCCTAGCGGCTAATTTTTTTAGAATTCATTTTTAAAAAGTTAGTACAAATACTGGATGAAATTGAACATGAGCCGAAACTCTGTTGATCGTGACCACTAGAAGTAATATTATTCACACGCTTACACGATTTTTTCGTAAATCTATCTAGGTATTTTTGTGTAACTGATGAAACTAAACAGTTAATCCTATTTAATTCATCGTACCACTATTTATGAAAGTACGTATATCTTGTTTTTCTCTTTTTTCCTTTGTCGAAAAAAAATCATTTATAGTAAACTTGGGCCCAAATAGCTGGAATTATGTCTACAATGTTCAATTTTCTTCGTCAAAATAAACTTGAATATAATAAAATTATCCTATTCGGAATCAATGTCAAAAATTGAACCGATTGATACATACCTTTGTCGTTTCCAATTGTTTCAATTTACTTTCCAGTTTTCACTGGGCACGAATACGGTGACTGAAATCGTCACAGAAAAAGGGCAAACAACGAAATATTTGGAAACATACAGTAATCGACTCTTTTTTTACGTTCAATACGAAGATGATAATCCTATTACATAAAAGCTCACTTTGACGAAGAAAATTGAGCTAGAGGGGTAAAAGCCTAGCTACTTGGCCCAAAATTCAATAAAAATGATTTTTCTCTCTGAAGAAAAGAAAAGAAAAAAAACGACACGTACGTTCGTGGCTGGTGATACAATGAGTTATATGAGATAAAACATTTGCCTTCTTCACGATTGTGATAAGTTACACACACAAAATCGTCATTGCATAAAATGCACCCAGCTCTGTTCGTCCAGAATTAACAAACAGAGGGCGCTCGGCAGTGTGTGTGTGAAGAGAATGAGCTAATCCACACCTACACCCACGCATCCCACATATGCAGATATGTGACAAATTTTTATATGCCTGTCTATTAAACGAAACGGTGACATTTTCACCTAAAAATAATAATATAGAAAAAAAAAAACAACTGAAGAAGTAAACCTGATCTTCTCGAGCGAAATTATGTTTGATGCCACGTAAGCACCATGGAAATATCCAAAAATCTTGTTTGACAACTTGATTGTGTCCAAAACGGGTGAGGAAGTAAATAGAACAGATTGATATTATGCGTCATCAGTACCAGCAGCGTTTTTTTTCAGTGAAAAAATTGATATCGAACGTAAGTTGAAATAAACCCACAAAAGCTTCCAGACCATCCGGTTTTCGAATCAGCTTTCAAGTATGCATATCACTATTTTACAAGTGTATACGACATTAGTTGGAGAAACAAAAAAATCAAAGTTCTAGATAAGTATGAAAATCAGTTTCGTCGTGCGAGACGATCAATTTTAGGTTTAAGACACTATGAAAATGATCTGATATGCAAGATCAGAATGAGGCACACACGAAAACAAAAATATTTTTGTAGATCACTTTATCAAATTGAGTTGCAATTTAATTATATAGCTAAGCACGGAACAGCACAAAGAAGTTGTGCAGTTTCAGTTTCATTTGATATTTTGTAAGATTAGGGTGTGGGTGCGAGAGTCTCGTATTAATGCATTCACACCTACACACCCAAACACGCACACCCACACCCACCCAAAATTTAGCAAAAACAAAGGAAATAAATATCGTATGAATAGCAATAAGAAAAGTAAAAAAGAGCCCCCATGAAAAAAACCAAAACTTCTGTTTAATATGTAGAAATAAAAAAGACTGCACTTGCTGACAATCGATTATCGTTGTAAAAGAAGTATAATCTTTTAGAAATCTTACACTTTGCATTTATCGTATTATCATTTTGAGTATAACAATTTTAAATCAATCTGATAAATCGATACGATAGTAATTCGAAATGCAAACATGTTTGATATAATAAAATTTCAGAACGCGCGTTTCAAGTCTAATAATTATTAAATTTTTTATTTATTCCTTTATTTGAAATGTTTAAAATTAAATTATTTTAACTTTTCTGAAAATATACCATAAATTTGTGAAAGTCAGAATTTGTGAGTTCCACATTTTGGTCTCTGAAATGGTCGCACTGACTAGTTTATTGATGAATCTTCGCGTCACTCAAATGTTAAAGTATCAAATTTTCTTTCTGTCATCATTTATGCCTCTGATGGTTCATCAGTAAATTTATGTCTCACGCACTGTTGATGAATATCAATCATCTGATGTTAATGTACGGAGACGAAATTAAAATCTATTCGTATATATGTTGTTTCTGACGCATCAGCTTATTCTAATTCATATTATGAATGTTCCTCGGAATAAATAATTAAATAAATAAGGCTGTGAATGAAAAGGAACGGAATACCTACATACACACCTATACCGTTCTTTGAGACAAAAAAATATCGAAATTTTAAGGGCATATACTATGCTTGTTCTTTGATTACATTCAAAATTATATCAATTCGATTATTTCGCAATAAAATCATAATTTGCATAGATTAAAAGTCAGCATTTTATTTTGCTTTTATTTTATCTCATGTAACATCTTTGTTCACAGTACCACTACTATACACTCTCATGCGATCTTAATCATAAATGTTTCTACTATTTGATACCAACGCATTTTAGTCATTGACCTATGTACAGAAATAAACAGCAAAAACAGAACGATAACACATTAGAATACCACGAACGAAAAGAAAATTGGTCATTATTAACGAAAGAGGATACATCGAATGACACGCCGTAATCCAGGACACGATCTGGAAAGTTATTATTCTTCTATTGTCTGCAAATACCTAAATCACATTCACATGTTGTTCTGTCGCTTGTCTTGTCATACGTAACGATATCTTTCAGCATCAGTATTATTATTTTGAACTCAACATTTCTTATTTGTAATGTGAAACTCCGTATTTTACCAGTATTTGATGATACATTTTCAGAAGTTTCAATTTGAGTGAAAGACCTCTATCACTGTCTAGCAGGCGTAGAAGAAACACAACATCAATTAATTCACTCACACGAAAATATTATTAATCCAAAAATCACCATGCGATAAAGTGGGTTTTCATCAGAAACTTTTTGAAAAAGATGTGGCATATGTATAACAAGTGCTTTGGCATAAGTATATGCTTTGCGTGACACACTCGATTCTAATTATTTTGTGTATTTTGTATCGGTCATACTTAGTATATTTTTCATGATGATAATGGGTGAGTGTTGAGTTTAATGACGGCGCTCCTACAAGCCATTCTTGTTGTAACAACGAATGATTGAAAAGCCCGGCATGTAAAGATGTGATTGATGCAATTAGAATAAACAACGTAAAATCTTCTAGCGACTACCAGTAGGTATTTTTAATATCATCCATGATGGTCAACAATCTCTATTATCAGGCGAGTATTGAATATAGTAAAGGCGATACACAGATCCGTTCCAATCTTGTCCGATGCCAATCCGTTCAATCATAAATGTATTTTCTAATACTGATGAGTCCGAATATGCAGAGGGCATGGAAGAAAGAAGTTCAGGCGTCAGATCAGTAATTTGATTAGGAAACGTATAGAGAGTGGATATCATCATGGCTCTTGTGTTCCATAATTGATATTGTATGATGTAGGTAGTGAAGTTGTTCACATGCTTCAGACTTATTGTGAGCACAGGCTCGAATAGTACTAGAGGAAAGATTCATATATGTTGCTTGAACTAGATGAAAACTAATGATCAAACTACTTTTCTGGGAAAGAGGATAAAGCTCGTATTTCTTGTTAACGTTTCTCATGATAATCCTGAGCAGATTTGGTTTGATCATTTCTGTTAATTATATTTTCATTGAATCCTTGATTCAAAACATATACTGTATGAAAACCCAAGCGAATGAGATGGTCGGTTAACCAAGTATGAAATAGTGCGTCTTCTTCTTTCAACTAAAATACACCAATTCGAGTTACATCATGAAGTTGCAAACGAACATGTGGAAGAAAAGCTTCCATGGCAATACTTAATGAAGTTGTAGTTGGCTAAAATATGTCAAACAAATCTATCATAATCCAGTCGAGATTTTCAATTGTAAGATAGATCATTGATAGATGATGTCCGGCTGTGTGGGTGTGGGCGTAAACAGAAGATCTACACTCATACGCACACCAATAACCTAAGAGATTGATGATTTTATTCTATTGCTTATGAAATATTTCAAGGCACAATCTAAAAAAAATGCCATATGCTCGTCTTCAGAGTCTTTACGATATTGGTCCACATAATTCTACAAGAATTACACCAATAATTAATGGTGTTTTATTAGGTAATGCAGGATTGGCGAATAAATAATTGTAAATGTTTCGTCTGTTTTCAGTAGAAAGTAAAGATTTATCTGCTTTTATTTTGATAAACAAGAATCCCTTGCAAAAGCTCGTCAAAAACCTTAAAAAATCTGTGATTATGAAGTATAATTGAAAGTGTTTAACAGATTCTAGCTTTTGAATCCGGAGAAATCTGTAGGTAAACAATAACAACTGCACCTGCACTATGAAGTTATGCGCGTGAATTTTTGTCGTTTGAACTACACATTGTTAGGTCACCTTTCATCTTTCACTTTTGCGATGCTTGAAGAAAACTAGAGTTTGGACGTTTTAAACACATCGTTGCTCAATGGCTAAAATTTCAAAATAACAGAAGATTTCAGTGCAAGCATTTTTAGTAAGTGTACTGCAATGGATTAGACGGTCCCAGGTTGAAGGGTGTCAATTAAAGTCTGATTGCTTAGATCGTTTTTTTTATCATCATTTTAGTACTTTCATCGTCTACTTCTACGAGAGATTTTCCATAGTTGCTTTACATCCTAGGTAGAAAAAGAACATTTTTCCATTGCCAAATCAGATTGAAACATATTTATTTAGCAAAATACTGTAAGACAATTACCAGTGTCCTTTAAAGAAAATTTTAGAAAAGTAAGCAACATTTTCTTTCCACGACTAATAATAACAACTTACTTTATATCCAATGTAAATTAAGTCATTCTCATTGAACAAATGAACATAGTACCTCGATCGTCTGAAAAAACTAAAAGTCTTAATTACAATCTAAAAAAGGAAATTGGTGGTGCAATATAAATAGTATCCGTTTTTTTTTGATTGAAACAACCTACATAAAAAGCAAAATATTTCTGTCATTGATTTACGTGATATTGACACATAATGATTATTTTATACAGTTAATCATTATTGTATGCTTAGATAAAATGTTTTGTGTCAAATTTGAGGATTTTTCTACCTTGTTTTTGTCGTATGCGGTTTTTTCATTATATCAATACCCAAAACAAAATGCACGTCATGATGACAGAGACATTATCTTCGCTGATACATATCCACTTCCTTTTGCTATCCTATTCGATATACTATGACGATATGAATGAATCATCGAACCGTTCTCGATATCTTCGTCAGAAAGGAGTCATTTTCTATTTTTTTCTCTTTCTCTGATTCATTTATTTTGTTTTCTGCTTCGATAGACACATAAAAAGCATATATCAAGATTCCCACATACGACGTGATGGGAAGAAAAACGTATCTCACGGAACTAATAGGTTGGTACCGTCTCATTCGATGAAGTGGGATGAGAAAAACCCATCTTATTTGGAATTCCAGTGTATATTTACTTCGTTTCTTTCCTTGCATCGTTAAAATAACAAGAAACAATTATATAACTCAATAAAGAAGAATTCTATTTTTTTTTCAACCAGTCCAGAGATCATGTCATTAAAAGTTGCTCAAATACTTCAAGATGACTTAATTGCACCTTTGATATGGAAAACTGCATATGGACTTGCAACAACATGTATTCTTGGAGCTGCTGCTTATGTTGGATATCGTGTAGGTACACCAGAAAAGCACCAAGCTAGACAATATCAAAATCCAGAATTGAATGATCAAATCAAGAAAGTTGTCGATTCTCTAAAAATAACTGATGATCAATTAATAGATATAATGCAGATATTAGAAGAAGAAATGAATGCTGGTCTTTCACTATCAACACATAAACAAGCAACAGTGAAAATGTTTCCATCATATGTACGAAATATTCCAAATGGAACAGAAATTGGTCAAGTACTTGCACTTGATTTAGGTGGGACAAATTTTCGTATACTTTTAATTGATTTACATGGAGATTCAACAGTAGAAATAACATCTAGAATTTTTGTTATTCCCCAATCAATTATGATTGGTGATGGAAAACATTTATTTCATCATTTAGCTGAATGTTTACATGAATTTATGGAAAAAGAACATTTATTAAATACTGAAATATGTTATCCATTAGGTTTTACGTTTTCATTTCCTTGTCAGCAAGAAGGACTTGCATCAGCACGATTAACAACATGGACGAAAGGTTTTAATTGTTCAGGCGTTGTCAATGAAGATGTTGTGAAACTTCTTCAAGATGCTATCAATGAGAAGCATATAAATACCAAATGTGTAGCTCTAGTAAATGATACAGTTGGAACATTAATGGCGTGTGCATATAAAGATCCATCAACAGCTATTGGTCTTATATTAGGAACTGGAACAAATGCATGTTATATTGAAAGTTTAGATAAAGTTGGTACATGGAATGGTACTTACGATGAACCAAAACAAGTTATTATTAATACGGAATGGGGAGCGTTTGGTGATAATGGTCGTTTAAATTTTATCCGAACGAAGTATGACGAAGAAGTTGATATTTCATCGATTAATCCCGGTAAACAAATTTTTGAAAAAATGATTTCGGGAATGTATATGGGTGAAATTGTGCGTTTAGTATTGCTTGATTTAATGCAACAAGAATTACTTTTTCTTGGTCATCGTGATGCATATAGAGATTATACAACACCACTTTATAATAGTGAAGGTTTTCATACAAAATATGTTTCAACAGTTGAAACTGATGAAGGTATTCAGTTTTCAAATACGCGTCGAGTACTTGAAAATATTGGTATACAGAATCCTACATATGATGATTGTGCTATTGTTCAATATATATGTCGACAAGTTTCAAAACGAGCTGCTAGGTTGGCTGCTGCTGGTTTGGCTGTATTGATTAATCGAATGGGAAAACCTCATGTTACTGTTGGTGTAGATGGATCGCTTTATCGATATCATCCACATTTTAAACATAATATAGAAAGTTGTATGGAAACATTGGTTAATAATGATTTTCAATTCACATTAACTTTATCTGATGATGGTAGTGGTAAAGGTGCTGCTATGGTTGCTTGTGTTGCTGATGCTTCTTCATACAAAGAAACTCGTGTACATGATGAAGAAACAATTAGCTAAATTTATTATTGTTTGTATACGACAAAGTTTTTTATTTAAAATATCTTTCATATTCTCATTTTTTTTCGCTTTCTATTTGTTGTGTGCATAGGGTTTACATTATATGTCATTTTAACTATTCATTTTTAGGTTATATTTTACAGTTTGTTAGCAAAAAGTAGCCACAAAAAGCAATAAAAGAACAGAGATCAACCATGAAAAAAGCCTTATTCCATCTTACCAGGAGATAAACTGTTTTTCCCGAAGATTTTATATTAGTAAATCAACAGAAACACGTAGAAATTAAACCAGTTTCTTAATAACTACAACATCAATAAAAAAAACTGTTCATAAAGCACACCATTCACTTGCTCTTCTATTTCACGCTTCAAATCACACCCACACCCTTCTCTTAGCCGCATTTTGGAGACAATTGAACATAGGTTCTTGCGAGAAAAAGGCGTGCATCTGAAGATATAATCTCACAAAGACATTACTGAATTACCAAAAGGTCTATTCATTATAGAACATCTGTAATTAAACAGATAGCAAAACATATTAGAATACAGAGCTGGAACCGGTAAGAAATTTTGAAAACGGTCCGGTCCGGCCGGAAAACGGCCGTTTATAAGTTGTTCTTGAACCGGTGAATTTCCGGCAAACTGAATAGGTACTGATATGAATACAAGTAATGCTTCTGTGTTTTCGATGTAGATTGTTTAAAAAAAGTTCGGCTTTGAACTATGATTTTCAACGTATATTTCAGAGAACTATAATTCTTGATG